GAGAGAGAGAGAGAGAGACACTATACGGCCGGAAGTTAACAAGCGGCTTGCTGGGGGTGTAAGAGGCGCCTTTCTTTTCATTAAGAGAGTGCGTGAAGGAGAGAGAGAGAGAGAGAGAGAGAGAGAGAGAGAGAGAGAGAGAGAGAGAGAGAGAGAGAGAGTCACATTATGCGAGGCGACACGCGGATTACATAAGGCACACAAACCGCTGTGTACAACCAAACCATGCATTGTGCGACGAATTAAAGGGGCGGGGCGGGGTGGCCGAATACCACGGCGTGGCTGGAGGTGGGGAGGCAAATTGGGTCGCCTGCTGATCGCTGTCACACGCCCACGCACTTGTGAGGAGCGAGCGAGTGCGAAAGAGTGAGTGACTGAGTGAGTGAGTGAGCAGAGGCCATATCGAGAGGAGAGAGAATGGACCAACCTATTGTCGCCAACCATTAGAGAGGGAATTCCCTTTCGAATAAAATAAAACCAGCAAACACACTGTAAAATGCTTACGAACTAAAATGCTTTGCAGCGTTACGCACAATTTTCATTCATTTTATGGCAAAGAAATTGTTTGTATATTGTTTCTAAGGCTTGAAGGGTCACGAACTATCAGTTTGCATTACGAACTATTTGTTCGTAAGCTTGCGAACCATTAGTTAGTAACACAACGCTTCAAAATCCTTCGTAAAGCTACGAAGGATTTGTTTTGCATGCGAACATGTTGATCGTAATGCAATTTACAGTTCAGACAGATGAAGCGGAGGCATTATGGGGACGAATAGGACTACCAGGACCTCTGCGAGCGTGTGGTCGGGGCAGACGGGTCTTGATGATCATCCGCGCACAGTAGGCTATCGGCACGACCGTGGCGGGGCGCGGCGGGGTGCGGCGGGGCGCGGCGGGGCGCGGCGGGGCGCGGCGGGGCGCGGTGCGCTCGAGCCGGATGGCGCAGACACACATGCACGTATTTATAGTGCGACGTAAAATACGATCGGTATGCATGCATGGCTTCACGGCTTCACATGGCGATGCGCGCGCGCGGTGCACAGCGGGGCGCGCGGGGCGCGGGGCGCGGCGCGCCGGAACGTGGTGGGGCGGGGCGTGGCGGGGCGTGGCGTGGCGGGGCGGGGCGCGGCGCGCGCACGGGGTCAGCCGCGCATCCTGCATACAATGCGGCACCCACTCTGGTCAATGCCATGCAGCTCCGGCGAGATAATGGCAGACCGTGCCGTGCCGTCCGGGGCCCCGCCGGGGGACGGTCTGGAGCCGGATAGAGCGTGCACGGGACCATCTGGGGCCACCGGGGGCCATCGAGGGCCACCTACGACCACCTGGCGACCACAGGGGGCGATCGAGGATCACCTCAATGCATTCCTGGGTTCGAAATTCACCACTACCACAAATCGGTCCGCGCCTTTCGGAAATGTCGGTAACGTCAGCCAAGTTATACATGGCAGTGCGGGAACTTTAAACCCCCATCACATGGAAATTTGTTTGAAAGCGCTTTTTACCGATAAACGGAAAATGACAATCACTTTCCTTCTGACAGGAAGTAGTGGCCAAAAATTTAAGGTGATCATTGCTGATTAATTAAAGTAGATGCCATGTACACTGATAATTCAGTGAACGCATGATGATCATGATTATCAACGATTCAACGGATATATCAGCGAGCGATGTACACAATCAAGTTTTTAAGGTATCACTTAAATTTTTATGAGTATTATTAAACATGTGGCTGTAGCACAATAACGTCTAAAAGTTACGAGCCAAATTTTCTAGTGAGTGAGGTGAGGGGTGGGGGGTTGCTGAAGGATTGGGGTAGGATGAAGGGCAACATCACAATGTTGCGCTCAACATCGAAGTCACTAGCTTGGAAGAGATAAGTCACCAAAAAGGGGGTGGGCATGGTGCGCACCAGCCTTCAAAACCCCGCGTGTGTGTGAGGGGGAGGCGGGGGGAGATGAATGCTCAGCCAGCAAAAGGACTGACGAGCAGGACACAACGACTTGCAAGAATGTAGTGGTTGGGCGCGCGCGCACGCCAGAAGCACAAAAAGCGGATGACGTATAGTAGTAGTGTCACTGGAATATGATGACTTCGATGGCTCATCCCGGGATAACCCAACGACGCGTCCGCGACATGGTGCAATGCGTGGACCAGCTCTGCCTGCCTGTCTCAGCCGGCATTTTGCATTCACGTTCCGGACCCCTTCACATTTCGAAAAAAATAATAATAACAAATCTCAAAGAACACAAAATGTTTGCCGAGAGAAGAATAAATAAAATTGAGGCTTATTTTGGTCTTAAATCTTGTCGCCACTAAAACCGCCAGGGATTTGCAGGAATCCCCATTGGACCCGACGGCGGGTATAGTAGTAGGTGTGCAATGTGGTAG